AACCCATCTTAACATCCTTTTCCAACCCATCCTTACACACTTCCAACCCATCCTAACACACTTTACCAAACCCATCTAATCACACTTTACCATACCCCATCCTAACATCACTTTACCAAACCCATCCTAACATCACTTCCAAACCCATCCTAACATCACTTTACCAAACCCATCCTAACATTACTTTACCAAACCCATCCTAACATCACTTTACCAAACCCATCTTAACATCACTTCCAAACCCATCCTTACATCACTTCCAAACCCATCCTAACACCACTTTACCAAACCCATCCTAACATCACTTTACCAAACCCATCCTAACATCACTTCCAAAACCATCCTAACATCACTTTACCAAACCGATCCTAACATCACTTTACCAAACCCATCCTAACATCACTTTACCAAACCCATTTTAACATCACTTCCAAACCCATCCTTACATCACTTTTAAACCCATCCTAACACCACTTTACCAAACCCATCCTAACATCACTTTACCAAGCCCATCCTAACATCACTTTACCAAACCCATCCTAACATCACTTCCAAACCCATCCTAGCATCACTTTACCAAACCCTTCCTAACATCACTTTACCAAGCCCATCCTAACATCACTTCCAAACCCATCCTAACATCAGTCTACTAAACCCATCCTAACATCACTTCCAAACCCATCCTAACATCACTTTACCAAACCCATCCTAACATCACTTCCAAACCCATCCTAACATCACTTCCAAACCCATCCTAGCATCACTTTACCAAACCCATCCTAACATCACTTTACCAAACTCATCCTAACATCACTTTACCAAACCCATCCTAACACAACTTTACAAACCCATCCTAACACCACTTTACCAAACCCATCCTAGCATCACTTTTCCCAAACCATTTCCTTCATCACTTTACCAACCCATCCTGACATCACTTTAACCCATCCTAACTCACTTCCAAACCCATCCTAGCATCACTTTACCAAACCCCTTTCCCTAACATCACTTTAACATGCCCATCCTAACATCACTTCCAAACCCATCCTAACATCAGTCTACTAACCCATCCTAAAATCACTTCCAAACCCATCCTACATCACTTTACCAAACCCATCCAAACTCACTCCAACCCCATCCTAACACACTTAAACACTCCTACCCATCACTTTACCAAACCCATCCTAACATCACTTTACCAAACTCATCCTAACATCACTTTACCAAACCCATCCTAACACAACTTTACCAAACCCATCCTAACATCACTTTACCAAACCCATCATAGCTCACTTACCAAATCCATCTAACATCACTTTACCAAACCCATCATGACTCACTTTACCAAACCCATCCTAACATTACTTTACCAAACCCATCCTAACATCACTTTACCAAACCCATCTTAACATCACTTCGAAATCCATCCTTACATCACTTCCAACCCATCCTAACATCACTTTACCAAACCCATCCTAATTACTTTACCAACCCTCCTAACATCACTTTACCAAACCCATTTTAAACATCATTTCCCAAATCCATCCTTACATCATTTCCCAAAACCCATCCTAACACAACTTTACCAAACCCATCCTTACATCACTTTACCAAACCTATCCTAACATCACTTTACCAAACCCATTCTAACATCACTTCCAAACCCATCCTAGCATCACTTTACCAAACCCATCCTAACATCACTTTACCAAGCCCATCCTAACATCACTTTACCAAACCCATCCTAACATCACTTCTAAACCCATCCTAACATCACTTTACCCAACCCATCCTAACAGCACTTTACCAAACCCATCCTAACATCACTTTACCAAGCCCATTTTAACATCACTTCCAAACCCATCCTAACATCACTTTACCAAACCCATCCTAACATCACTTCCAAACCCATCCTAACATCACTTCCAAACCCATCCTAGCCTCACTTTACCAAACCCATCCTAACATCACTTTACCAAACCCATCCTAACATCACTTCCAAACCCATCCTAACATCACTCTACCAAACCCATCCTAACATCACTTCCAAACCCATCCTAACATCACTCTACCAAACCCATCCTAACATCACTTCCAAACCTATCCAACATCATTCCAACCCCCAAACCTAACATCATTTCCAAACCCATCCTATCATCACTTCCAAACCTATCCTAACATAATTCTACCAAACCCATCCTAACATCACTTCCAAACCTATCCTAACATCACTTCCAAACCCATCCTAACATCACTTCCAAACCATCCTAACATCATTTCCCAAAACCCAAATTTCCCAACATCATTTTAAACCAAACCTATCCTAACATCACTTCCAAACCTATCCTAACATAACTCTACCAAACCCATCCTAACATCACTTCCAAACCTATGCTAACATCACTTCCAAACCTATCCTAACATCACTTCCAAACCCATCCTAACATCACTTCCAAACCCATCCTAACATCACTTTACCAAACCCATCCTAACATCACTTCCAAACCCATCCTAGCATCACTTTACTAAACCCATCCTAACATCACTTTACCAAGCCCATCCTAACATCACTTCCAAACCCATCCTAATATCACTCTACCAAACCCATCCTAATATCACTTCCAAACCCATCCTAACATCACTCTACCAAACCCATCCTAACATCACTTCCAAACCTATCCTAACATCACTTCGAAACCCATCCTAACATCACTTCCAAACCCATCCTGCCATCATTTTACCAAACCCATCCAAAGATCATTTTCCAAACCCATCCTAGCTCACTTTACCAAACCCATCCTTACAAATCACTTTACCAAACCCTTCCTGCATCACTTTACCATAACCCATCCTAACTTCACTTTCCCAAACCACCCTAACATCACTTCCAAACCATCCTAACATCACTCTACCAAACCATGCTAACATCATTTTCCAAACCCATCCTAACATCCCCTCTACCAAATCCATCCTAACATCACTTCCAAACCCATCCTAACATCACTCAAACCAAACCCATCCTAACAATCACTTCCAAACCTATCCAAAACATAATTCTCCCAAACCCATCCTAACATCACTTCTTTTATTATCCTAGCATCACTTCCAACCCATCCTAACATCACTTCCAAACCCATCCTAACATAACTCTACCAAACCCATCCTAACATCACTTCCAAACCTATCCTAACATCACTTCCAAACCCATCCTAACATCACTTCCAAACCCATCCTACCATCACTTTACCAAACTCATCCTAACATCACTTCCAAACCCATCCTAGCATCACTTTACCAAACCCATCCTAACATCACTTTACCAAACCCATCCTAACATCACTTCCAAACCCATCCTAACATCACTCTACCAAACCCATGCTAACATCACTTCCAAACCCATCCTAACATCACTCTACCAAACCCATCCTAACATCACTTCCAAACCCATCCTAACATCACTCTACCAAACCCATCCTAACATCACTTCCAAACCTATCCTAACATCACTTCCAAACCCATCCTAACATCACTTCCAAACCCATCCTAACATCACTTCCAAACCCATCCTAACATAACTCTACCAAACCCATCCTAACATCACTTCCAAACCTATCCTAACATCACTTCCAAACCCATCCTAACATCACTTCCAAACCCATCCTACCATCACTTTACCAAACCCTTTTTAAAACATCACTTCCAAACCCATCCTAGCATCACTTTACCAAACCCATCCTAACATCACTTTACCAAACCCATCCTAACATCACTTCCAAACATATCCTAACATCCCTCTACCAAACCCATCCTAACATCACTTCCGAACCTATGCTAACATTACTTCCAAACCCATCCTAACATCACTTCAAAACCTATCCTAAAAATCACTTCCAAACCTATCCTAACACTTCCAAACCTATCCTAACATCACTTCCAAACCCATCCTAACATCACTTCCAAACCCATCCTAACATCACTTCCAAACCCATCCTAACATCACTTCCAAACCCATCCTAACATCACTTCCAAACCTATCCTAAACTTTTACTTCCAACCCTTTCCTAACATAAATTTTCCAAAATCATCCTAACATCACTTCCAAACCTATCCTAAGATTACTTCCAAACCCATCCTAGCATCACTTCCAAACCCATCCTAACATCACTTCCAAACCCATCCTAACATCACTTCCAAACCAAGCTAAATGAAACCAAACTATGCTAAAGATAGCTAACCTAAAGTTACACTGCCAAACTAAACAAAATCAAACTCTACTCCTAACATTTTTAATGTAGTAAGAATGAACAGACTAAATCTCAGTTGTGGTTCACACAGTGTTGAATTACAGACAGGTATTAAGCCCAGGGTGGTAAAAAATGAAGAAATTATTAAAATTTTACTTACCATAAATTAACTCAAAACAATAATTTTTGTGTCTGATATGAAAGTTAATAAAATTATATAATTTTTTTTATAGCATTATTTAAGACGTACGTCTGTTGCGGTGATGCTATCCAAAATTTTATGGATTTTTACGATAAAAAAGCTCCAATTAATAGAAATAAAAATAATAGTGAAATCTGATTCCTCATGTCTTAAAATATATAAATTAATGAATCATTCACTTCTGAGTTTTATTTGGTAGGTAAGATATTTATGACAAATTGATCATAGGATTTGTTTAAGTGTATCTGGTTCTACGGAACTCCCTTGAAGAGGGTATTAATAGTTTTTTTTTATTCTCTCAAGAATCAATTATTCATGGCCCAAAGAATTTGAAAACCTTTTTCCTTATATTCACATGTTACATTGACTGTAAGTCGTATAAAGGATATCACAGTAATATCCTAATTTATTGAGAGGAAAGATATTGTCAATTAATATGCCTGCAGTTGAAGTTAGAAGTTTTGGTCTATATAAAATACATTCTATAACTGAGTTTACCTTTAAATTATGAAACATAAAATAAAACTGAGTAAAATAAAGTTATATCGTTACAGTGCTGACGGATGAATCCATTGTGGCTCAGAGTGTGTTGTTCTTACTCGCTGCCTTTGATACGACGGCCTCAGCTCTCGCTTTCGCGTCCTTCCTCTTGGCCAAGTACCCCGTACACCAGCAGCGTCTCCGCCAGGAACTGCAGCAGATGGTTCAGGAACATGGTGATGTTACCTACCAGGGCATCATGGAAGCCACATTCCTCGATGCTTGTATAATGGGTAAGACGATCTTGTAATAATCATAGTTATTACGTCAATGTACTTTTTGGTGATTCATTCTTTTGAGAGTTAATTGCATGTTCATATTCTTCGTCAATCCCAGGCAGAGGCAGGAACCAGAAAAGAGGTGCAGCAGTTGATGGTAACCTCACAGGTGGTTAGACCCACTAGAGGAAGTAGGTCATGACCATCTTATGAATGATTTATTTCCGCTTGTGTGTTCCACCTTCAACTGCAACATTTCTTTTCTGAATAGAATATATGTGTTCATTCTCCTGCCTTTCCTTTAGATTGGTCAAGGCTAATCAGAGAAACACCCACCATTAGTGAGGGACTGATTCCCTCAGATTCCAATGACTCAATTTTATAAACACTGTATTAAATTGAAAAAGCCACTGGGTAGCAAAGCGTTTTAATAATAAAGATACCCAGGCATTACACTTGTGTTTTGTTAATTAAAACGAATATAACACTCTTTTAAAGTTAATGTTAGAAAAGGTCTAAAGATAATGCTAGACAGGGCTCCAAGAAGTATCCAGGTCGGAGGCCATCCTTGCCTTTACCCACGATGGAGGTGAAGGGCCATCCTTGCCTTTACCCACGATGGAGGTGAAGGGCCATCCTTGCCTTTACCCACGATGGAGGTGAAGGGCCATCCTTGCCTTTACCCACGATGGAGGTGAAGGGCCATCCTTGCCTTTACCCACGATGGAGGTGAAGGGCCATCCTTGCCTTTACCCACGATGGAGGTGAAGGGATGACAGCTCGGTAGAAGCATGACTCTTTATGAATTCATTTGTTTCAAACGTCAGGAAATATTAATGTTTATAGTAGTCGTAAAAATTAAACGGGAAATAACAATCAATACACATAAAACAAATACATTTTTCTGATAATTAAAGAGGAATATTCATATTATTTTAATTGAAATGAGGCAAAAAAAAAAAAAAGAAATTCTTCAAGATTAGGAGTTCAAGTAAAAATTACAGAAAAATATTAAATTATTTTAATATATTTTTATGTTAATTTTACATTAATAATGCTTCTGTTTCCATCACCTTCCTCCTTTCAGTGTAGACGCGATTATGCTTTTCTTTACCGATAATATTTTTAAATTTTAGGTATGTTGAACTATGTGTTTTGTTTATAATAATAATATCTTTATTTTACTACAAGTACATGTACAGGGTATACAGTCCTAGCTGATAACAATGACATACTACTATATAGAAAGTCCCTTGTTATGCTCCGCATTTCGGGCAAATTAGGTCAGTTTTGTCCCAGGATGCGACCCACACCAGTCGACTAACACCCAGGTACCCATTTTACTGATGGGGAACATAGACAACAGGTGGAAAGAAACACGTCCAATGTTTCTACTCTGGCTGGGAATCGAACCCAGGCCCTCGCCGTGTGAAGCGGATCGTTTTAAACCCCCAGGCCACCTGTTACGTTGGTTTCCTTTTTTTTTTTTTCTTGGATGGTAGGTTCTCACTACATGTTCTAGTGTGGGGTAGCTTTTACTTAATGGCCTTATTTGTCTAGGGGTAATACTTACATCATGGCTGATCATCTTGATGTTCATACCTTTTCACCAGCCCCCTTCACAGGT